GTTTGCCTTTTGTATTTTCCCTCTCTGTGTTTGCCATCTGTCTCCTGTGGCAACAGTCATAGAGTCATAGTATTTGCACCAGCCTGTATTTTCCCTCATTCCTCTTACACACTTAACTCATGGTTGTTAGCTTGCTGCTTGGTAAGAGAGTAGGAACACTGCTGTTCTAAGTCTGGTCCTCCTTCAGTTTATGGCATGATGCCAGCACAAGTGTAGCACTTTATACCTGATGAGCTTTGCCACACCACTCCTTTCCCTCTAGAACACTACAGGGGCTCACCTGCTTCCTAGAGTGGCAATGTGTGCCTCCTTAACCATGTACTCAGACAGCCTTTTAACCAGAAGAACTAATTATAGACCAAGGTGGCTTACCTTCCCCTTCATAGTGAAGTATGTATCAGAACAAAGAACTTCCCAGGAGGCCCAGTAAGCACCCTAGAGCCTGCAGGGAGAATAGAGCTGTGCCTATGATGCTTTCCTCCTGTGTTCGGTTTAGGCACATTGGCATTACACCACATTTGAAGTGTCTTGGGCTCCAGGAAGAGAGAGCTTGCCGTCTGCTATGACGCGTGGCAGGTCCTGGGAGTGAGTGCAGTGAATATGAGCATCTGTCCTCACTACAGGCAGCCTGCCTGAGCTTGCAGACGGGCCCAGCCGATTTTCCATGCCTGCTCATGACCCGATCACTTAATCATCCTCTCTATGATTTGTTCCCTGTTGGGTAGGAGAGGATAATGACACCCACATCATAGGTTGGTTTAAGGGTTAAGGTGGCTCTAGCCACAGGTTTCTATTGCTGTGATGATACACTCCATGCTTTTGTGACTAACTTATCATTGGCTTACACTTCTATATCGCTGTTCATCATTGAAGAAGTCAGGACAGGAACTGAAGCAGGGCAGCTCCTGGAGGCAGGAGCTGATGCAGAGACCATAGAGGCTGCTGCTACTGACTTGCTTCTCATGACTTGCTCAGCCTGCTTTCTTATAGAACCAGGACCACCAGCCCAGGGATGGAACCAACCTCAATGAACTGGGCCCTCCCCCATCAGCCACTAGTTAGGAAGATGACATATAGGCTTGTCTACAGTCTGATTTTTATGGAGGCATTTTCTTAATTTTGAGGTTCCCACTTCTCAGATGATGTTAGCTTGTGTCAAGTTGACATAAAACTAGCCAGCACATTCTGTGTCTATATTTCAACCAAACTTGGATGGGTGGATAGATGGATGGATGGAGGGAGGGAGAGAGAGAGCTGTCACATCCAGACCTCAGCATGACAGCTGCTTGTGTAACTTCTACATTGCATTAGGTATTATAAGCAATCTAGAGATAATTTATAAAGTCCACAGGAGGCTATATGCAGATACTATGCCATCTTACATAGGGGTTGGGTGTCTAGGGGAGTTTCTGGAACTGATCCCATTGGGGTATCAAGGAGGAGTGACTGTGAAATCCTCAGCGTGGTTCCTGGTGCTCAGTACGTTCTGTTGGAGTGTTTGTCTGTCCGTCTGTAATTTTATCACATTAATAGAAAATGAAAGTAGAATATTGCCCGAAGTCCTCACCTTCTGACATTGTCATATTCACAAGAATGTTTCAGCATGACTTGGGAGGACATATTCTGAACATAGCATGTACCGTTACTCTTTTATCTGATTTACGATTATTTTACTCTCAGGCTTATTTTATTTAGCTACTGTCCATCTTTAGTTGCTGCAGGGTGGCTGCTTAAGCCCCAGCTGTCAAGTCTTAACTATCCAACAGGAAGGAGGAACAAAAAGAGGGCATACTTAATGATTTAAGCAGATTCCAGGAACCTTTTCGATTAAGACCTGCATATTTAAGTGACCAGAATTTGGCATGATGGCAGACTGCAAGGAAGGGCAGGGAATATCACTGTCTGTAATGCCAGCCATTCAGATTCAGAACACACAGCCAGCCATCTTTATCAAGTGTTTAAGTGTTTTGTATCTGTTAGGATGGAATCTAAATCAGGGCTGACACTAAAAAGGAGCAGTGTACGCCTTGGAGATGTTAGCTTTAAAGAGAGGAAGGACTTCTGTTGTGGCAAAGCCCTGTCAGTCCCTGGGGATTTAAAAGCCAAGCCACACCTGGTCCTTGGAACTCTTGGGTTGTTAGAATGCTCTGTGGCGTCTTGGGGGTATTGGAGACCATTATGCCTTAGTAGCTGCTTAGTGAGTTTCTCTTTGAGATTGTCTGTGTGCCTTTACAGCTGGTGTGCTTTGTAGTTTGCCTGCTTAGCAGTGCATGATTTTGGACCACCCACTCCAAGACTAGATAGCTTTCAGCCACTCCAAGGAAGCATTTGAGCGACGACAACTCTCTACTGTTGCCACAGGGTTGGTTTGCTCCTCTTGGAGTCAATAGATTTTTACTCTGTTCTCAGTTGTGACCAGGGCAAATTATGGGTCTTTTGGTATTCTTGAGCCTGTAAATTAGAGCCTCTGGGTTGTGTGGGGAACACCCCTGGCCCCCAAAAGAGTGATGTAATGTCTGGGGGCCATGTGTTTTCTTCTTGGGGTGTTGGGGTGGACACCATAGAACTTAGTAATGGTAGTAATGGGAAGACTGAAGAGTAGTTGGTATGACTTACACGGTGCCAGAGCAAAGGGGCCAGATGGCTGTTCATGCCCGGCCTGTTCCCACCACCAGCTGATGGGGTCACCTGAGTTTAGGGCAAGTGTTAACTGAGGGGAAGGAAGTGATGAATCTGCACGCCTGCTGATTGGCTCCTTTAAGCCTCGCTGACTGGTTTTGAGGGTTTGTTCCCTCTTGATTCTGAAGCAGCCTCCCCAGAATGACAGGCAACTCAATGGGATTGTGGCATGCTGGGCAGAGTGGCCCTTAGCCAGGATGTCTCTGTGAGGCTGCTGGTGAGAATTGCCACTTCATTCCTCAAGGGACACCCCCAGCCTTGTGTCCTCCCCCCCCAAGGGGTGGGGCCACCAGAGATCTCCAGCCCTGTTCTTGACCTGAGCCTGTGCATCCCTGGGGGTTGGGGGATGAATGGCAAGAGGCAGAACAGTCTTTGGTGCTCTGCTCCCTCAGCAATATTGGAACTGGCCAGGAGCATCCTAAGAATTAGCTCACAGAAGACACACCACTAGAAATAGAATAGCCAGATGGTGTCTGGGCTGTGTGAACCATCTCTTGTGTGAGGAAGGTTTTAGAGAAAAAGCCTTTCTTTAGGCCAGAAACTGCAGCAGGCTCAGCAGCTGCCCTTTTAGGAGCTGCCAGTTGGAGGGTCCTGGTGACTGACTGACACTTTGGAGCTTCCCACAGGGCAGTATGAGCATATCAGAGAAAGTCCATTGTTGAGCACATCTGGTGCACTCAGCCTATAGTTACTGGCTCCCAACAGCTGGACTTTCTTTCCTGCACATAACATTTCTAGAACTCTTGTGTACATCCTTTTCACAGACACAAACAGTGAGTGAAGGATGCAGTAGGGCTGGACACTGTCTGCCCAGTCAGTGTTGTGTGTCTCCTGCCCCTGCCGCTGTGTGCTGGGATTGGAAGAAACTTGTGTGGAGAATATTGGAGCCGATCGCAAACCCACTTGAGTTCTGGAGTGACGAAGATTGTGTGTGTGTGTGTGTGTGTGTGTGTGTGTGTGTGTGTGTGTGTGTGTGTAAAATAAGCTTAAGGTCAGCCGAACACTGAACAAGTCATGTATTTAGTTGTATTTAGCCAGTAGCTCACAGTTATAGGCCTGCCCTACTTTTTAAAAATAAAAGATTCAAAATGATTTAAGATTTATTTATTTTACCCTTGTGTATGAATGATTTACTAAGTGTATGTCTGATGCCCAGGGAGGTCAGAAGGTGTCAGATACCTAGAACGAGAGTTACAGATGATTATTTGAATCACCAAGTGGGTTCTAGGATTGAACCTGGGTCCTCTGCAAGAGCAGCAAAGTACCCCCTTAATCAATCAAACAAACAAACAAACAAAAAACAGGTTTTTTCTTTTTTTGCAGCCCTGGCTCATTCTGCAAACCAGGTTGGCCCCAGACCACTGCCTGGCTTAAGAGCAGCAGGTACTCTTAACTGCTGAGCCACCTCTCTAGGCCACTCTTATCCCACATTCAGTGTGGGAGGTGGCAAGAGGATAATTGTTCTGGTGACCCTGTGATAAGAGTGGAGATATACAGCACGTGTGGCACACCCCTTTAATCCCAGCACTCTGGATGCAGAGGCAGGCAGATCTCCTTCAAGGCCACTCTGGTCTACAGAGGGAGTTCCAGGACAGCCAGGGCTACACAGAGAAGCCCTGTTGAAAAACAAAAGCAACCAAACAAAAAAGGACGGAGATGCGCAAAGCTAGGCTGTGCCCATGCTCCCTTGGCTGTGTTAGTTAGATCCCTGTGAGCTCTTACAGGGTGTCTGTTAGAGATGGGCCCTGGCTTTGGGTGCCTGGGCTCAGAATCCTGTCACCTTCAGACTGGTGGTTTCTATTAATGTAAGATTATAATAACCAGAAAAAAGTCATGTTAAAAGGGTGGAACCCAGTTTGTCACCAAAATAATAGTTATTATTTTGATTCCTTTGAAGTAGGGTCTTACTTTATAGCCATGCTAGTCTTGATTATCCTGCCAGCCTCTCAAGTGCTAGTGATTATTGTTAATTTCATGTAGATATTATAGGATCTACCATTCATACTTAACCTATTTATTTATGTGTTCAGTGCTCAGGATTGGGCAAAGATCCCAATATGCTAGGCAAGCTTTCTGTCACTATTTTATACTTCAGCCTCAATCTTAACTTTTTTTTTTTTTTTTAAAGATGCGCTGGCCAGTTTTATGTCAACTTGACACAAGCTAGAGTCATTTGGAAGAGAAAGCATCTATTGGAAAATGCCCTCCACCACAGTGGCCTGTGGGCAAATTGTTTTTTGTCAGTGGTGGCATGCATCAAAAATACTTAATAGACTAAAAATTTTCTAAAACCATATAGGTAATATAAACACACAGGCTTCATGAAAGAGTTCTGGGTACCAGGAAAGACTGTACACAGGTGCAGCCTGTTCTCACCACCTCAGATGTAGGGGTCAGATGCTGGTTAGGAAAAGGACATTCCAAGCCTCCAGATGTTGAGTGTGTGCTTACGTTTTGTTGTAGTTTCCAGTTTTGGATTAGAGAGCTGCAAACCTCACCTTCCTCTGTTTGATAGCTTCTCTTTGTGGGTGGGAGAGCATCTCAGGGAGCAAATCTCTACCCTCAAACTCCAGAGTTGTTTTAAACCCTTACCTGTGTACAAGTGCCACAAAAGGAAAAACATATTTGAAAGATAACTGCATCAGGAAAGAAAAATAACTGCATCAAACTATTGTTCCTCCTTCAGGTACTCTTACTACTGGGTTGTGTGACGAACATGCCACATGGTGCTTTGCAGAACAGTCTGATATGTCAGATTAGGGTGATTTATCTGATCACATTTATCTTGTGATCAGATTAATCAAGCAACTTTATGAGAATTGTGACTTTATGTTTTGGTATGTGTGTTTTGTTGTTGTTAAAATCAGATGGCAAAGTTCATAAAATAGGTTCAAGAACAAACTGAGCCCAGTAACTATCTATACATGCTAGTTTTTCATCTCTTGTAATAGTTAAGTCAACCCCACAAGAATGTTGAGTTATTGCTTTTGGAGCGCCCCCCCCCCCCCCCAGACAGGGTTTCTCTGTGGCCATGGCTGTCCTGTAACTCTGTAGACCAGGCTACCTTCAAATTCAGAGAGTGCTGGGATTAAAGGTGTGCACCACCACCGCCCAGCACTTCTGGGAGCTTTTTAATTTTTGGTTTTTCGAGACAGGGTTTCTGCAGACCAGGCTGGCCTCAAACTCATGGAGATCCATCTGCCCTCTGCTTCTTGAGTGCTGGGATTAAAGCACCAGCGTCAGCTTTTATTTTGTTATTAAAAATCTTTTTAGTGCATGTGTGTACATGTATGTGGAGGCCAGAGGACAACTTGTGGAAGTCCATTCTTTCCTTCCACCACACGGGTCCTCACGGGTGTACCACAGATGGTCAGGCTTCCTCCCTCAGCTCCCTTACAGGGAGGCCTAGAGTGTCCTCCTTTGTCCCGGTACATTCCCACACACCTTCTCTTATTCCCCGATGTCTTCTCTCCTTACAGTCTTCCGTTTGTGCCAAGATCGTGCAGCTCCTGGGGCAGAATGAGGTGGATTACCACCAGAAGCAGGTGGTCATCCTGAGTCAGGATAGCTTCTATCGAGTCCTCACTTCAGAACAGAAGGCCAAGGCCCTAAAGGGCCAGTTCAACTTTGATCACCCTGGTGAGTTGGGAGTTGAGAGGTGTGTGTGTGTGTGTGTGTGTGTTAAAGGCAGAGTGGGTATTGGTTGTGTTCATGAGGAAGGACTCAGCGTCTCCCAGTCTGTTCTGTCTACAATGTAGGGCCTGATGACCACCTTGCATAGCTACCATGGGCTTACACGAGAGAATGGGTTTTAGAACACTTTGCAGAGAACTGATTGAAGTTGTATGCAATGAAGGTGAACCATGCAAGCTTGTTCAGAGATGGGACAACCCCAGAAGCACACACAGCTGGTCCTTTTGCCTTCCGATGTGTGGCAGCCTGTAATACCACCACCCATGCACCATCACTACCCCACGTGTGTGCATTTGGCCCACGTGTTCTGCTTGGTGGCTATCAAGGAGGGAAGTGGGGCTGTCTTAAGGTGGCCCCGTAAGTGAGTTTTGCTGATATCCCAGATCAACAGGTCACTCCTTCAGATGGTTTAGGTTTTTCATAGCTGGCAGTCAGCTCTTTTTGGCATGGGACCCATGCTTAGCATGTGCCAACCCCAGGGCACCAGCTGACCTTTGAGGAGAGATGGGGGTTGTGTGTCAACACCAGGTATAGAATGTCAGTAGAAAACAAACACCAGATTAGTTTGCCAGAACTTACTCACACACCCTGTTTTAAGATCCAGGGAGTGTTTGTAGTGTTTGTATTCCACCACAGCTGGACATTGGCTTTGGAGGGGCAGTGTGATTTGGGTGTGAAGTTTGTTGTGATTTTACAACAGGTTAGTTTAAAACCAAGAGCTGTTTTTTTTTTTTTTTTTTTTTTAATAAATGGTTTGATTTCCTTCAGATGCCTTTGACAACGAACTCATCTTCAAAACACTCAAAGAAATCACCGAAGGAAAAACAGTCCAGATACCTGTGTATGACTTTGTCTCCCACTCTCGGTAAGTAAGCTGGGCTGGACCAGAGATTGTTAGCTTTTGCAGCCTAGAGCATCCCGAGTGTGCACTCAGCTTCCTTCCTCCTAACCGGCCAGGCTGGCCTGGTGCCTTCCCCATTTTTCATGAGGATGTTTCCAGGAACACCCTGGATTGGTGTAAGGGATGAATGGTGTCTCGGTTAGGGTTTCTATTGCTGCAACTCAACACCATGACCAAAAAGCAAGTCAGGGATGAAAGGGTTTATTTGGCTTGTACTTCCACATTGCTGTTTCTTACTGAAGGAGGCAGGGAGGGATGCTGCTTGCTGACTTGCATTCTTTGGCTTTCTCTTAGAACCAGGACCACCAGCCCTGGGGTGATACCATGCACCATAGACTGGGCCCTCCTGCGTTGATCATTAATTAAGAAAATTCCTTACAGCTCGATCTCATGGAGGCATTTCCTCAACTGAGGAGGCTCCTTTCTCTCTGACTCTAGTTTGTGTCAAGTTGACATACAAAACCAGCCAGGACAGGTGGCACGCGTGTTTGTTGTGATGTACATCCCAGAATCTCTGCTCCTTAAAAAGATGTCATGGGGAGGACCAAAGGCAGAACAGGGAAGGAACGAAGCATCTGTGTGTGTCCCTCTCTACTGTCTTTGTACATTGTGGGTTTTCCTCATCATCTTCTGAGTCTTTGTCAGCAGTGCAACCTGGGTCCACACAGGAAGATCTGAGCAAACAGAGTTGTCTGCCTTGGAGGGAGGTGGTTTTGTCCAGTGATGAGACCCTCCAATGCACGGCTTTCTCTCCAGGTTCAGGGAAGGACTCAGACCAGCTGGAGGAAGAAATGGGCCTGTGGGATAGTGTGAAGGAGGGAGGAAGGCTTACAGGAGTAGTGTGAGTCAGGAGTTTAGCCAGCTTGCATGGAGGAGCTAGTAGTGCTTACTTGAGACTTGGATAGAAACTCACTTGGAGGGTACTTCCGGAGGGACAGTACCCTCTTCCATGGGCTGTTCTGCTGACCTCCCAGTGTTTGCAGAGAGCTTTTGTTGCTTAAGGAGCTTAAAATAGTTTTGCGAATGTTAGCTCACTCGCTAGTTAGGCAATCACAAACTCTAGAGAGTTAACACAATGAGAGGCAGTAGGGGCCTGTAAGGAGGTGTTGGGCAGATACTTTACCAAAGGCGAAGAATTGCACTGCAGGGATTCAGGGGGCAGAGAGGTCCCAAGCAGGCCTGTCTGTGAGGGACCCACCCCATGATCATTTTGCAATATGTCACCCACCTGGCTTTTGAAAAATTAGGTTCTGCCTTGGGCTGACCAGCCCTGAGTGAATGAGGTATCTGTCAATAAGGAAGAGGTGGACAGAGACTTCGAACTTTGAACTTCTGTCCAATGCTTTCTCATGATCTCATCGTGCTCCAAAACCTCTCTTTATCCCTCCCTACCTCTTTCCTTTGTTTCCTCTTAAGCTGCCCCAGGCATGGAGGAGTGGGTGGAATTGTATAGCAAGGACCGAATATCTATCTGATTCTTAAGTTCACAATACTGAGTTGCAGAAGTGCCAGGCACGACAGCATTCCTGGAGATGCCTTCAGAGAAACTAGAAGTCACACCTGCTTTTGTAGAGACAAAACACCCTGTTTACTGTCTTGTGTATATTCTGTCCACACATACAGGCAGCTAAATGATGGTTACCCATACAGACAAACAGTGGCCTGCTCGGAGAGCAGCAGGTGGGTGGAATACACAGGAGATTGGAAACTAGACAGATATTAGAGACAATGTCTGTATTCAACCCATTTATTTTATTTAAAGAATGATGGTGCCTACTCTGCTTTATGGAGAAAGTTCAGAAGAGCTAGTCCTAGCCTTCTTAACGCCACCTTCTCTGTGGTGGTAGCCTCTGGTCCTAGGAGCCAAGCTCCTCTATTGTTTAGGTCTTGTAGAGGGAGAGAACCCAGCAGATGCTCTGACACTTGCTGTCACCCCAGCTCCCTAGCAGTTTAGTCCATCTATGCTCTGTGCTCTGCAGGAAGGAGGAGACGGTCACTGTCTACCCCGCGGATGTGGTGCTCTTTGAAGGGATCCTGGCTTTCTACTCCCAGGAGGTCCGAGACCTGTTCCAGATGAAGCTTTTCGTGGACACAGATGCAGACACTCGTCTCTCTCGCAGAGGTGCGTTCATGTAAACTTCAGATGGCCCATTTGGTGGCCACCTTGGGAGCAGATGGTGGGAGCCCATGAGAAGCATGTGCCCTCCTGAGTCTGAAGCCTGGACCTTTCCCTATGCAGCTGTGTGATGCTGTGACCTGGCCCAACCCCAGGACATCCTGCCACCCAGTGTTTGGTGACATTTAGGAAGGGCTTAGTCACTTTAGTGTTTAGATAAAGGCTTGTGAGGTCACTAGGATGAAATAAGTCGAGTTTCCTTTGCAATAATCTTTTTTTCTCATGAGGCATCAAGGAAAGATGCCTTGGTCTTGGAAGTAACTGTAGGACATCTGGGGACAGGGACCCTGCGCCTTCAGTGCCGGATGCCTTGTTTCACCATCTGCTTCTGTTGCATGCTCTCATCCTCTCTCCCCAGCCCTGGAGCCGATTTACTGGCAGGCCTTCCTGAGTGTGCACCTGTGCTGTGTCCAGCGTGTGCTTTCTCAGGAACCTCAGAACCAGGCGAGGAGCTGACCTTTGCACGATATGGAGTCATTTGCTTCCATTGGAAGCCTTTCAAGGAGGAGGAGGGTCAGGTTACAGGGGTGAGGAGGGACTATGGTGCAGGCACCTAGAGAAAAATGCTCATTACCTCTACAGACACAGTGGCCTGCTCCAAGAGCAGCATGTGGCTGGAGTGTACAGGAAATAGTAAACAAGACATTAGGAAGTAGCTTGGGCTAGGGAAATAGCTCAGTTCAGTGGGCAGAGGCTAACCCAGCATCTGTGAAGCCTGAAGTTCAATCCTCAACAGTACACAAACAGGTGCCCTATGCCTGTAATGTCCCTAGGGAGAGAGAGGTAGGAGGATTAGAAATTCAAGGTCATCCTTAGCTACATAGCAAGGTCAGTTTAGACCCTGTCTCAAACAGATCCTAGTAGGGTAAATCTGTGAGTTATTGGACATTCTAGTAAATAGGTTGATAATATAATATTAGGAAAAGCTGTTAATGGAACCAGTAGAACTGAGAGGAGCAAGTCTGGGTTTGCATGCTCATTTGGAGCCACACTTTTTCAGCAGGCAGGTCCCCATCTCGCTTTGTGACATTGGCTCCAGGGTACCCCAGGTTTGTGTTTATGAAGCCCCCCCCCCAACTTCCATGCTTCTGCCAAGTTAAAGAGGCAGTGTGCTATATTAAGAAAAAAACTTCAAAGTCAGGTGAAATGGGTGAAGATTCCAGTTTCACTGTTCATTGGATGTGTGGCCTTGGGCAAGTTGTGTTTTAACCTCTGAACCTTATTTTTCTATCACATAATCCAGGAATTAGTCCTGCAGGGACAGTGCCCACAGACACATTGCTTGACAATTGCTGTCTCTCAGGCCAGGACCCTGGAGAGATAGGGGCTGGCATCTTTTTCTCCTCAACATTGACCGGGCCTCTGGAGAGTCTGGGCTCTCTCTACTGGCTGATGACTAGTCTACAAAGTGGGACTCAATCCTAGGAAGACGTTAAAGGAGGTAGAAAAGACAGCTTCTAGGGAATTAGAGCCAGATTTGGAGTAGTTGTAAAGTCTTTGGCAATAGAGTAGGTCTTGGCTTCTAACTCCAATCAGCTCATCATGGTGCAGATCAAGCAGAGCAGCCTCCTTCCTGTTTTTTGGCCTGGGTGGAAGGTGATCTTTATAGGAGTATGGGAAATCCTTAAAATGATGTTTTGAGAAAAGGGTGTAGCCCTGGCTGGGTAGACCAGGCTAGCCTCGAACTGTTTCCAAGTGTTGAGATTAAAGGTGTGTATATCCAGCCCCTCCCCCATCCCAGGGGGTGGGGCGGAGGTTCTGTGGCCAGCGCTTGCTTGGCCCTTGTTGTCTGGGCAGGTTGCTGCCTCCTCATTTCAAATGTTCTTAACACGTTCCCTTCTGTCCAGGTAGCACAAAAATATACTCGACATATGCTTGGTGGAGTGCAGGGCAGGGGACAGTCCTTAACGGTTGTAGGTACAGGACTGGAGAACATTCCAAGAGAATTGAGTACCTTGCTCCCACCTATCTTTCCTAACCTATTCCTGTAACTGTAACATTCCAATAAGGGAGGAGCTGGCCCTGGTACCCTGCAGTTCCGAGGTCGCCGGGACCCTCCTGATTCCCCTGCTCCTGGTGACTTGAGTTTCCCCAGTGCTTCCCTCTCCACCCTTTGCTCTTGCCTGCTACTTCAGCATTAGGACAGGGGAGAGTGGGGCATGGCATTTAGAAATGGAAGAGTGCTGGATTCGGAAGGGCCGAGTGGCCAGGCAGGGAACTGGCAAACCTGTAGCTTCCTGCCCATTACTTTGTCCTTTGGGAATGATTCTATCCTGCCCAGCACACATGTAGGGCTCAGGCTGGGATGGTGTGGGGGTAGGGGTGGAAGTGTTGGATTTTTTTGAGTTTTCAGTTTGTGCCAAGATCTTGTTCTGACTCAGCCCTTGGCCTGATTCTGCTTCCTGGCAGTAAGCACCTAAGGAGCAGGGCATTTCAAATGCAGTGAGCTGGCTGTCCCTTGGCCACGGAGCCATCCTAGTCTGTTCAAGGTGACAACTTCCTTGAAGGCTCTTAGGGAGTTAGGTGACAGTGCCTTCTTTGATGTGAGTCTTCTTTCTTTCCCAGTTGCCCCTTTTTAAGATGTCGTTGCATGTGTTCCTATCCTGCTGGCCTCTCCTGAACCTTTCCAGTGTTCTGCAGGGTTCCTCTGCCCACTTCTCCCCATGCACCTTGTCCTCCTCACATCGACAGATCTTCCTGTCACGAGTCAGTGTGGTTCTCTCCACCCCTTCTCCCCCGCTGGAGTCCCCCACCCCTGGTTGTGCTTGTGCCGCAGTTGTCATAGGAGGGTAGGTGTCTGTGTGCCAGCCGCCATGCTGGAGATTGTCTGTACCTCCCTGTCTTCTTAAATAATAGCTTCATCAGGGCTGGGAAGGATGCTCAATCTGTACATTGCTTGCCTATCATGAACAAAACCCTGGGTTTGATCTCCCAGCACTGCATAAGTCTGTGCACAGTGGCAGGAGTATGAGATCCAGGGCATCTTCAGCTATGGATCTTAAGTTCAGACCAGCCTAGGCTGCATGAGATTCTCCCCTCCCCCAATTATGAATAAGATCTTCTTTATCTACTTTTTGTTTAAGGAAATGAAGATTCAAAGAGGATAAGTCACTTGCTTAAGGTCACAGGAACAGGAGTTTCTGGGGACAGGACTCAAATCTAGGTCACTTTACTTCAGGTTCATAGTCATTAGATAACAAGAGCCAAGCAGTCTTGCTGTGTCACTTCCCACTGGAGCTTACTTCATGACCCTGGTCTGTGGGCAGCAGGAGGTCTGTGTGGGGTGTACCCACACATGTGCCATAGGGAGGAGGGCAAATCTTTCCAGGGTACTAAAGCCAGTAGCTTCTTGAAAAGTATGCCTTGCGAAACAAACCCAGCACCAAGCACTCCAAGGGCAGCACCCGATTCCAGGGAGGAACAGTTCCTGAGTGTAGGCATTCTAGTGTGTGCAGGTGTCATTTCGAGTGCGTGCGTGTGTACACACACACACACACACACACACACACACACACACACTTACTTAGCAGCAGGGCTCTCCAGAATCTCATTCACAGAAACTCCCTATGTTTGTTTACAGAGATTTGTGTCTATTACCTGATATGGTAATCTCTGGGGATACCGTGAAAACTGTGCAGGTTGATAATAAGCTTTGAAGTGGCAGTTGTGCAGAGGGCTGTGTCAATTGACAGGACCTCCAGGATGTTGTTCTAGCTTACTTCACCAAGGGGAGCTGAGGTTTAGGGAGGTCAGGGCACAGAGACAGAACCAGTATGCCCTGGCCCTTAAAACTGACCGTCTTCATTGCAGGCCTCTTACTAGAAGATGCTGAAGGAAGACAGTAGATGAAAGATGGTACATCTGGATCCATCTTGGCTTCCTTCTTGCTTTGGCTCACAATAACCTAGAGTGAGGTTTCTATTTTCTATTTGTAAACTTCTGTGCCCTAGCAAAGCAGAAGGAGCTCCCCACACTGGTATTCCCACCCAGGAGAGGATGGGGGAGTTGGGTGGCTAGCTGACCCCACAGCTCTAGGTCTCAACTTGGGAACACAGGTGTGAGCATTCTGCAGCTTAGTGCCACAGTTCTCTGTTGTCACGACTCTCTGGGGATGCCCTGATCTTTCCTGGTTTATGTTGAAATTTTGTTTGCTTGAAACAAGAAAGCTGCTCATCTTGACCAGGCAGCCATTTATGTTAGGGAAACCTACTGTGGTAGAATTTGATGGTAGTGAGACTCAGTGTAACTTGTTTTTTCTGAATCTGTTGCTGATCCACCCTAGGGTGAGTCTCAAAGGAGTCCTGACTTCTCAATCAGCTGGGTGACCTGCAGGAGCCTGGCGTGCCTGCCTACCTCATGCACTGTGTTCTTGATTTTTGTTTTTCCTTCTCTTATAGTATTGAGGGACATCAGCGAAAGAGGCAGGGACCTTGAGCAGATTTTATCTCAGTACATCACATTCGTGAAGCCTGCCTTTGAGGAATTCTGCTTACCAGTGAGTTGTATTCTTTGTTTCTGCTAAATGTACATCTTGACATTTAATGACTTAATCTTTTTTTTTTTTTTTTTTTTTTTTGTGGTGGGGGGGGGGGTGGTGTGGGTGTGTGTGTGTGTGTGGTTTCTCTGTGGCTTTGGAGGCTATCCTGGAACTAGCTCTTGTGGACCAGGCTGGTCTTGAACTCACAGAGATCCCCCGCCTCTGCCTCCCGAGTGCTGGGATTAAAGGCTTGCGCCACCAATGCCCAGCTGACTTAATCTTTTTAAGGTTGATTTTATATGTATTTTATTTTATGTGTATAGGTGGTTTTGCCTGTGTATATCTGTACGCCACATGCATGTAGTGCCCTCGGAAGCCAGAAGAGGGCATGAGATCCTCTGGAAGTGGAGTTTAAGGATGGTGGTTGTCTGGCATGTGCATGCTGGGTCCTTTGTGAGAACACTGAACTCTCATCATCTAGAGAGATGCTGAGCCATTTTTCTAGTTCCTTCATGATAGATTTAAAAGCCCGTAGGTTGCTGGGGTCTCCCCAGTTTGAATCTTACTCCTTTCTCGAGTGAGCATCTTGAAGTCCCAAGAGGTAGCATGCTAGGTTCTGACCTAACATCTTCTTCAGGTCTCCCTAGTTCTGTGCGTCTCCCAGCATGACACTCATTTCTTGCCTGGGAAGGCTGTCAGACTTCCCAGAAGCTAGCCTGAGATAGACCTCAGGCAGCGGGAGGCTTTAGAAGGTCAGAGTACTGATGCAGGGCAGGCCCTGCCACAGGTGGTTCATTTGAAACCTCTTCTTGGCCTTTGGATTTGGGAAGTGCTGGACTGAACTGAAATCCTCTTCCTTGCCCCCCTCCTGGCACAGCTGTATCCCCCCTCCTGGAGCATCTTGAGTTCCCTAGTGAGGTGGCTTTCTGAGAGCAAAGGGGAATGGCTCCCAGCTAATCAGCCAGAGAAACACATCTCTCCGGGAGAGACCAAATAGGGCATGTGAAGGGAAGCACCAGAGACCCGGGGTGTGGCGTGGGATTGTGAGGAGGGAGAAGATAGGGAACATGGTTTAGTTTGGGAAGAAATATTTGACTTAGGAGAATCTTGACTCACTGTGTCCTCCCTGCTGAGCAGGCTCGGGTCTGGCAAAGCAGGCCTTTGTGATTTATAACTAAGAGAGGAAGAAATTGGGACTTAGGCTGACTTTTGAGTGAAATCATTTAGGAAGAGTGGTGTCTGGCAAGGTCCCTCTTTTCGCTCTTTGACAAGTAAAAGCCTTCATTCCCTTTCTCATCCCCTTCCTTCTGACTTTCATATTTTAGCCATGTTTTTAGGTGCCTTTTGTGATATTGCATTCAAATCCTCAGACTGCTGCCGGCATCTGGCTGGATCATCCCTCATTTAGGGCTGACTGGCCCTTGCCTTGTGCCATTGGTGAGGGACTCGGGTTTGGCCCTGAATGCCCCTCTTAATGTGTTGTAAATATCTCTCTCCACAGACAAAGAAGTATGCGGACGTGATCATTCCTAGAGGTGCAGACAATCTTGGTGAGTACCAGTGGGGTGTCCTCCTGGTCAATACCTTCTACTCGAATCTACAGATCTAGTCTTGGGAACAGATCCTTGGTCATATGCATATCCATGTTTGAGGACTGACATAATCAGGGAATCTCCATCAGAAATAAAGGGCTACAGACTCCATTCAGCTGCCACTCCTGTAATGACACTTGGACACCTGGTATCCAAGACCACCTTTCAGTGCAGGTGAACTTCCTTCCTAATCTGATGTAGAATGCTGTGCTGTCACACCAGGCTTGTCCTTCTCAACGGCTGTCTCAACAGCTTCATTACTGTGGTCTTCATGTGTTTGACACGTCTAGGAAGCGATGGCTGTCCACAGCCCTGACCTAGTGTAGCCGAGTTAATCTGTTGCATAGGACTGGACCTCATCTTGTCATTCTCTTTTATTTCATTTTCTTCCATTTGAAGTGTGTTCACTGCGTTGTTTGAGTGTTTATCATAGCAGCAGACATTCCACTGTATGTTTTAAGGAAGCAGGACATTCTCATTTATAGCTAAGCTCAGGGAATGTACTGTTGATCTCTTCTTCCCCTCAGCCTGTGTTAGGTTTTGACACACTGACATTGTCAGGAGTGCATAGGCCCACTGTTTGGTGGCCCCCAGCTTAGCTAGCACAGTCCAGAGGAGTCAGTATCGCAGGGAAAAGTGCCACATGATGTCTTTGTAGATCACATCAGGAAGTGTTCCTTTGTTGTTTGGGGCTGGAGAGTGGCTCAGTGGATAAGAGCACTTGCTCAAGGATGAGAGCCTGAGTTTGGATCTTAGCAACCATATATTGAGAGCTGGGAATGGTGGTGCACACTTTTAATCCTAGCACCCAGGAGGCAAAGGCAGATGGCTCTCTTGAGTTCAAGACCAAGCTAGCCTGGTCTACATAGTGAGCTCTAGACCAATCATGGCTACATGGTGAGACCCTTGCCAAATAAACCCCCCCAAATCCCCAATCCTGTCTGTCTTTCTCCAGGTTTAGTGAGAGACTCTGTTTCAAGGGAATAAGGCAGAGAGCAATAGAAAAGGACATACCTGACATCTTCCTTGGGCCTCCCGGTATATACTCACACATATTACCCCTCCCTACCACGCACGCACGCACCACATGCCAGATTTTCTTGTTGGTGTTGTTAGTATTGGTCAGCTGGCTGAGGTACTAAGTTTTTTTCTGATGCTAATGCAGCTCACCCTTCTATGGGAAGACAGGGCTTTCTGTATTGTTGCCCTGTTTGGAACAGAAGTTGATAAATGCTTAATAAGAGGGACTTAGAGGTAACTGGTGATGTTAAATGTGTAGATGTGATCTCCAGTCACATCTACACATTTGTGGGTTGCTTGCTTTATCCAGTGGGGACTCTAACTAGCAGAATGTCCATTCACTGGGTCTCACTTTTAGCACACTTCACAAAGGAGGTCCTGTGAGCCCAGCTAGAGGCTTTGGAAGGTCAGGTGACTGACTGTGGAGGGTCAGGGCCACCTTCCTGGAAGTCTTTGCTGCCTCTGGCTCCTGTGTGCCCTTCCATGCACACAGGCCATATTCTCACAGCTCTGCACACACACACCCTCGCCCTCCCACACTCTCCCTAACAGTGTTGCTCTCTGCCCCACAGTGGCCATCAACCTCATCGTGCAGCATATCCAGGACATCCTCAATGGAGGGCTCTCCAAGCGGCAGACCAATGGCTATCTCAATGGCTACACCCCTTCACGCAAGAGGCAGGCATCAGAATCCAGCAGCCGGCCACATTGACCCCCGTGCCCTGACTCCAAATCCCAGCCCCCAGCTCCAAGACACAGGAGGGTCGAGAGGCTTTGGTCATCTGTACATACGCCTCCTGTGAAATTACTGTATTTAAGAAAACAGCGCGGAGATGAAATGCCTTGACTTTCTTGTTTTCCTTTTTTGTACTTTGGAACAGCAAATCAAACAGAACTTGACCCCGAGCTTAAGTGACAAACTGTGCCAACTACTACTGGTGATGCCTAATTATGAATCCAACGTGTAACCAGTTATAAATACACACATACATACATACATACATACATATATATATATATATATATAAAGGATCTATTTTTGTGTAAATGTACAAATACTGTAAAGCTGTTTGCCATAAGTATTCTGCAGGAATCTGTGCGTGGGTGTTGGGCCTGGAGCCCCACTCAGCAGGCTCTGACATCTGAGGAGCCATGGGAGTGGGTGGTTGATTGGTTGAAGTCCCTTGCTCTCAGCACCGTGGGCCTCAACTCTCAAGAACCCTCCACCCCCACCCCGACAGATGCCCCCTCCTTGAAACTGGAGCTGAGAGAGATTACTTTTTTTTTTTTTTTTTTTTTTTTTGGAGTTGAAATTTCTCAACTCAAAAACTGAATCTCAGGGAAGAGGCCCACTGAGGAAGAACAATCTGTCTGTGTTTCTTCTTGTTTCGCTCTGGCTGCCTGGGTGGCTCCATGACATCTTCCGTCTCTGTTTCCCAGGAAGCCAGAGCTGACTCTGCTTTCCCGGGGGCGGATCTTAATAGGGCTTCATCCTGCAGGAAAAGAGAGAGAGAGGAGGAGGGAAGGGTGGGACTATGTTCCTTGGCATGTTTAAGGAAAAACTGCCTCGTAGGGAAGTGACCGTTCAGGTTGCCTTGGGCATATTATTGGATATGGAGCGGCGCATTGCAGCCTGGGCTCTGGTTAAGGACATCTGGTATTAACCACTGACAGGCCTTCACAGGAGGAGGCCCCCTGAGAGTGAGAGTTCCACCCACAGAGCTGGCAAAAGCTTTTGTCCCTTTTGAGCTGGGGCTGTGCAGTGAGATAAGGAGTGTCTGTGCTTCCCACCTGAGATTCTCTTTGAACAGTCGATTCAGGATGATTTCCTGAATTACACTGTCACCCTGTTAATATGGTGGCTGCCTGGCAGGAAGGGGGTAGGAGAAGGGAAGCATTTCTTAGAGGGTATTAAGGGAGGGTATTTAAATCATGGGTACCTAAGCTGGGGTTTTATATTGAAGATGTCTGAGGTAGAGATTTCCTGAACACTTCTTTTGGTAGGAACTCTTGGCTCTGCAGGAAGTTGACATACTGAGAAGAAAGCTGGAGGAAATAGGGACCAAGCAAGAAGAGACAGGTGTGAGATAGGGCATCAGTCTGTGCCCAACTAGAGAGGAGCCACGGACTGTCATGTTGATGGTCTCCATCCTGCATTTTGTGGGCCACATGCTTGTAGTCACTCTGCCTGGACACCGGGGAAGTCTCATCCCCAAGTGGCTCTCAGGGCCCAGTGAGCTTCTTACTCCGTAATATCCAAACAAGCCGAGTGAGGTTCCCTCACTGTTTGAGCGCCGTCCAGTTCCCCAACCAGGATTCAAATTGGCCTCCACTTCCGTTTTTCTATTTAAAAGACATGAACCTAGTCCTCAGTAGAGCTTTGCTACTTTTCCTGAGGCCATCAGGAGGTCATGGTGTAGGTTCCACAGCAAATTCCCATGATAACAAATGTTCTGGAGCAGGGAGTGTTCAGCTTAGGTACCTATGGGGAGGCACACACTCACCCAGACAGATGCATCCTAGAGTGTCTGGAGAACAGTCTTTATCACATCAACTTCACGTCCATGGTAATTTTGAGATAAAAGATAGGTTATGGCCTGGGATCCCAAGGACAGGGCCCTGGCCTTGCTGGAATTGCCTGTGCTCATGGGAAACCCATTCCTATTTGCAAGAGCCTTGGCCTCTCAGTGGGTAGCACGCTCAACATTACTTGAAGCTCCCAGGTGCCAAACCACTTAGTGCCCTGGCTGTCTACCCTACTGCCGTGGAAAATGGAATTCTTCTCATCCCTGAGCCTTTACTTAGCCGCTTCCTCATCTACTTATGGTGTTGGGAACATGCCCTCCAGGACCTCTGAGCAGCCCATTCCCAGCTTGGACGAAGCTTTAGGACTACCCTATCCCTACCTCCTGGGAAAATTGTAAGCAATTCTGGCTTGGCTAGAAGCAGTGTTTGCTGGGGGCAGGGAAGGGATGGAAGTTCTTCTGCTCCGAAGCTGCTCAGCTTTTGGCCAGTTGTGCACTTGAACTTGAGTTGGAGGTAAACTTATTAGGAAACCATGACATTTGTCATCTGGGGACTTTTAGCTGCCCAGAGAGGAAGCATGGCTGAGCAGCGCTGAGCAATATTGCTCACAGGTGCAAAAATCCCCCGGCTTCAGAGCCACCCGGTGGTGCTCGCCTCCCCCTTCCCCAATACTGTCTCTGTGCTGAGTATTTAGGAGACAAACTTCTAAGCCTTGTGTCGAAGGAAGGCCCAGCCTCACACTTCATGCTAATGCAACTTCTGCTTGCTGTGACTTCTCTTTGGAGAACCAGAGGTTCTGCTGAGAAAAAAGGCAAGACTCTGATACGGGGTGGGTAGAGTAGGCCCCAGGGAAGGGAATGGGTTCAGGCCTTGCGGGGTGGGGGTGTTCAAGGCACCCGTCTCAGAACTAATATTCATAATGGTGGCTACTCAGATCCTGGGGAAATTGCCTCCAGCTTGCTCTATCCACAGTGGGTTGTCTGTCTCTTGGGACGAAGCTGGATCAGGTGTGCCCCTGAGTAGGTGAAAGTGGAGACCACAAGCCTCTTGCAGGGAAATGTTTTTCACTAGGCAGCTTGTGGTGATGCTCTGGTCAGTCCTGAGTACATGTAGGGTGGTCCTTCTGGGAAGGACCTGCTGGCCTTCTCTGTCACCTTTGCCGTTTATACTTTTACTCCTGGCAGATGGCCTAATGCTTTGTTGTTCAGACAAAACAAGAGAGTGGGTTGGGAGAGGCACAAACGGATGCCTCTGGTGTGCACAAGTCCCCTTCAAGAGTCTGGCTGTAGGCCTGATTTGCTCTCCTCTCATGGTGCCAGGCACAGGTGACTTTAGAGCAGCTTCCTGTTGCTCTCAGGCAGTGCGCTCCCACCCAGGCCTGCCTCTGGAGTGAGGGTGTGACGAGACCTAGCCTGTTCTTTCCCTAGAAGATGCTGTCTCTTCCCTTCTTTGCTTTTTACTGCCCTACCTTTGTTAGTGCTATGGAATGACCACATCCTGTGTACTTTGCTGTAAATAAAGACAAAGCAAAAACTACCCAACTCGACTTCTTTGTGGTGCCTTGTTAGCAGCCTACCAGAACATGCTAGGAGAACTCAGTGGTGGAGGGAGAGAGGCCTGGGCCTTGCATTTCTTGAGGAAGTGTGGTTGGTTTCCTAGCCTGCTGGGTTCTGTGTAGGCCTCCTGATCCTGGGGTGTGTGTGTGTGGAGCAGACTCCAGGCCCCAGCTGGCTCTCCTAATGTTACTTGCCTCGCACTTTCTATCTTGTGAACCACTGGGCCTCGGTTTCTGGGAGGCTGCGAATCTTGGAATACTGGCTCTGTTCTCAACAATGTCGTTTGTAGAGCCTCTACCTCTTTTGCCTTCCCAGACAACTTACCTACCCAGTTCTCTATATTGAAAGTGAAAACAAAACTTAAATGGAGTAATTTGAAGGTGTGTGTAGTGGAAGAAAGTATTCGTCAATTGTAACATTTTGAAATGAGTGAAGGCGTGTGCATATCTTTCTAAAAGGTTTATGTGCACTAGCGTTTGCATGTGTTTGTATACTGTGTGCATGCAGTGCCCAAGGAGGCCAGAAGCAAGTATTGGATCTGGAACTGAGTTACAGATGGTTGTGAGCCACTGTGTGGGTGCTGGCACTTCAACACAGATCCTCTGAAAGAGCAGTAAGTGCTCTTAACTGCTGAGCCATCTCCAGCCTTTCTATTCTCGTTTGTTGTTTGTTTTTGAAACAATGGTCTTGCTATGTAGCCCAGGCTGGCCTGGAACTTGCCACATTGACCAGGCTAGCCTCTGAGCTCCAAGAGACCCACCTCTCATTACCTGAGCCCACCTGGGATTAAAGCGCTGTCACATTCAATTGACTCTTATTTATAAAGACCGACGTCACGTACCACCAGGGGCTTGCACAGAACTGACTTGTGCTTTTTGCAGCCCCCGAGGGCTCCTGCCCCAGTCCTTCCATCTGTTCCTCTGCTGATCCCATCTTTCCGCTTGTTTTGCTGACCCAGGCCATCCCATGTAGAAACTGGATAGATCTCAACAGGAGCCTCTCTCTGACGTGTCCCCTCTTCCCCTGGTGGGCAGTGCTGCTGCTTTTTAAAATTATTTTTATGTGTACTGGTGTTTCGCCTCCATGCTTATCTGTGGAATACTTGTGTGCCTGCTGCCCTTGGAACTGGAATCACAGATGGTTGGGAGCCTCCTAGCCATTGTTCTTAACTGTTGAGCCATTTCTAGCCCCAAACTAGCACCGCTTTAATGAAGACATTAATGGGGCAGGTTTGCAGGAAACTTAATACCTGTTTAAAAGTGTTGAATACAAAGAGTAGAACGGATCTTGGGATATATGACAGTGTCAGCTTCAAGAGACTGGATCTTACAGTTCGTTTTAAAGGTTGGGTGTTGTAGTACATATCTGTGACCCCAACACTGGAGAAACTGAGGCAGGAGGATGGCAAGTTTGAAGTTATCCTGGCCCACATACTAACAACCTGTCTCAAAGATTGCTCCCCGCTGGGCGGTGGTGGTGCACGCCTTTAATCTCAGCACTCAACAGGCAGAGGCAGGCAGATCTCTGAGTTCTAGACCAGCCTGGTCTACAAGAGCTAGTTCCATTCTAGACTCCAAAGTCAAAGAGAAACCCTGCCTGGAAAAACCAAAAGGAAAAAAAAAAAAAAAAAAAAAAAAAAAAAAAGTAGTGGCTTTGGGCCAGGCGTTGGTGGCGAACCCCTTTAATACCAGCACCTGGGAGGCAGGGGCAGGCAGATCTCTGTGAGCTTGAGGCCAGCCTGGTCTACAGATGGAGGGCCAGGATAGGCTCCAAAGCTACACAGAGAAACCCTGTCTTGAAAAATCAAAAAACAAACAAACAAAATACAAAACAAACAAAGATACTCCCTACCCCTCAAAAAAGAACAGTTTAAGGAGGGGGTTCTCTGTGCTGGTGATGCGCCTTGCTTGGTACTAGAGCACCTGTAGCATAAGCAAGAGGTCTCGGTTCAGTCCCCAACACTGCAAAACCAAACAACACCATGCTAGATCCTAGTCTATTCCCGTGTGTGTGTGTGTGTGTGTGTGTGTGTGTGCTTACATACACTTTTAGTAAACCATCAGCTAAAATAAAATAGCTGTGGGAACCCATTTGACACAGGACCAAGCCCTGGCATATACATCTCAGGACTAGATAGCAATCAGAGGCAGAACATAAAAATGTTCTCTATATATGCCAATTGTCATGTCAACACACACACACACACACACACACACACACACACACACACACACACACAGAGAGAGAGAGAGAGAGAGAGAGAGAGAGAGAGAGAGTCATGTCACCACATCCACCCTGGGCATTGTCCTTATTGTGAGGACTTGTTTGGACTCAGTGGTACTGGTGACTTGTTGCCCAGAAGGAAGCCGCCAGGGGTTCAGTGTGTTGAGTTCTGACTGTCCTGGCTGGGGCAAACCAGCATGTCCTGACAGCTCACCGCCATGGATGTTCACAGGAGCTCCACTTCCTCGGCAGTATCCAGCCCCTGCAGTAAAACTACATTCAACTTTTCCAGTGTTAGTCATGTGTTCACTTGTCCTTAAAACGGACCTGTGAAGCATGCTAGGAATGTGTCTGTGTTCCTGGATTACGGCGAAACTGATTTCAGCTGCTAGGAATGGCTAAACTAAACTATGGAGCGTCTGTCTGGTGTGTGTCTGCCATCTAGTGGGAGGATTCAGGTGGCAGCAGGAGGGGGTGGCCTGGGTTGTTGGGACTGTCTCATTTGATTGCCTACAGGTAAGTAGGTGCCCCTAAAAGTATTAACTACTAATATGACTTTTCCCATCCCCTCTCTTTTTGTAAAATATATAAACCTCCACTACAGCACGTAGAAGCTCTTAATTTCTCCAGGGCTATAACCTGTGTGGATGGGCAAGGGAGAGGGAGCATGGATGATGTATGTGTGCATGAGTGTGTAAGAATGAGTGAGTGCGTGCGTGCGTGCGTGCGTGCGTGCGTGCGTGCGTGCGTGCGTGTGTGTGTGTGTGTAGGCTAGAAGTTGTCAAGTGTCTTTCTCAATTACTCTGCATTATTATTATTATTATTATTATTATTATTATTATTATTATTATTATTATTATTATTATTATTATTATTATTATTATTATTATTATTATTATTATTATTATTATTATTATTATTATTATTATTATTATTATTATTATTATTATTATTATTATTATTATTATTATTATTATTATTATTATTATTATTATTATACTCTGCATTATTATTATTATTATTATTATTATTATTATTATTATTATGATTATTAGATAGTGTCTCACTATGTAGACCAGGCTGGTCTCAAACTCACAGAGATCCGCCTCCTATCTTCTGAGTGCTGGGATTAAAGGTGTGCATCACCACCCCAGGCCTCCACCTTACTTTTTTGAGACAGGGTCTCTCACTAGGCATGGAGCTCACTCATTTGACTAGGCTGGCCTGTGAGCTCCAGGGAATCCTCCTGTCTCTGCATAAATTGAGGTTATGGATTCATGCTACAGCACCCAGTAGATTCTGGGAATCTGAACTCAGGTCCTCATGCTTGTATGGCCATCTTCCCAGGCCCAAGGCTACAATTGTTTTTAGCATAGTAGTTTTACAAGCTGCTATCAGAATCATGTGTGTGTGTGTGTGTGTGTGTGTGTGTGTGTGTGTTTATTTTTTAACAACATCACTGGGATGTATTGCTGAGAACTCTGATTCTGTAAAGCCTCGGAAGAGAATCATTGGTAACAAGTTGTTTGGGTGAGTTGGATCAGCTCTACGGGACAGGACCTTGTGCATTTAGCTACATGGAGCCTTATAAGCCATAGTGTTCCTAACATCAGTAATGCTGTTTCTCCTGGGCATGTCCCATGCATTGCATTGGCCTCCACTGACCAGATGGAGACCAGAATAGTAAAAATCACTGCAATCCAAGGAAAAGAGAGGGAAACACTGGAGTTCTTTAATTCTTGCAGTTAAGAACAGACAGCAGGGAGATGCCACTTGGCTACACAGATGCCACCTCATATGAGCTCTACCTGGAACAGCAGTTCCTTGAGAGCAGGGAACATGTCTGGCATAGAATCATGGAGCCTGCCTCTGGGCATAACTTTCTGCAGGCTTTGGGACTGTACGGGCTTCTGGCAGGTCCTCTTTGAGAACTGAGAATGTGGCCGCCACCTTTCTTGATTTCAGGGCTTAGTAGATCACATGAGCTGACAGACACAGTGCGAATTAGGTGAATTAAGAACAACAAAAGTATAACGCTCCCAGTGTGCTATTCAGTTCAGTACCATATGCAGCTAGCCTTGGTGGTATTGAAAGTTAATTGAGTTCATCTCAGACCAAAGTATTACTCAGTTTCTTTCCCAGTTGCCATGATCAAAAAATGCCCTGGCAAGAAGGTTTTATTTCAGCTCACCATCCAAGGCAAAGTTGTGGGGAAGTTGAAATCGTAGGGACATCCAAATCAGGAAGATGAGGGCAACAGATGCAGTCTACTGCTGTTGATGCTCTTTCTCTACTGACAGTCCAGAACCTAAGGCAGGGAACTGTGTGCCACCCACAGTGGGGAGGGAGGGCCTTCCCACTTCAGGTAACATAAGCTAATCCCCCACAGGCATGCCCAGAGGCCCGGGTGTTGTTGGATTCTGTCAAGTTAACAATCGGCACTAACCCTCATTGTCAGGTCAATGGGAGAGTCCCTCCTGAGTCCCTTCAAGCCAGCATCAGCTGGGTGGCAGGCTATGTCTGTGAACCTGCAAGCTGCATGAGAACTGTTGATTTCCTCTACTTCAAGTCAGTCTGTCACCTTGTCACCAGATCTGCTGTCTTAGCAGTGAGGCCACTCGCTGTACCAGGCAGGAATGAAGGTGCTTGTCAGTAAGGGTTGGTTGGGTTGAGGGGCATACAGTAGCGACCAAAGTACCAAAGACACCCTGACTTAGTAAAGCAGCTTGTTTTTCTTCTAAAGCAGTGCTTCTTATC